AATCACCATATATACCACTTCGATCTACGCACCTTACCTGATTCACTGTAGCAATAATGGATGGAAGCACGGATCCAAGCAACCGGGTTGCTCATTTAAAGGGCACAACTCAGATTCCACCAGTTGTGTAAAATGTAATAAGGACGACGAGTGCAGACCTGGGAACGTGAATGCGCAGTCGGGGATTAGTACCTACTGAAGTTATCAAAACGGCTTATCAAAATGAATTCTCTGACCCAACGTTCTACCCACGAGCATCTACCAGACTTCGTGCTGAGAAATTCTAAATCTTTTCCGCCATTGCATACAAATAAATATGGTTAAAAAGATGTTAAAAAATAGTAAAACGTTAATGTTTAAAGCCACCTGAAACAAAATGCTAGTCTGAATTACGTCACATATTTAAATCTGTATCGGATAAGAATCGAGACCGTAAATGATAATGATCGTGAGCTTTCCGCTTACCGAGTGTCGTGTGTGTCTGCTTTGAATGTGAAACCGAAGACAGCAATTCGTTTTCCTTGTAGAGTATTGTTGAACTTGGAGATGATACGACGTGAGAAGCGACTTTGCTGAAACTCGTTCAACTGTAAAACCGAGTACCAATAGGACGCCACTTCCGGCAAATTCAAGCTTTCGCTAATGTAAACCTGAATTGAAAATTATACGCACAAGAGTGATCATTTTCACGGCGCTGATTGAAATGACAAGCAACCACTCAGGAGTTACATCCCTACGGTGTATCGAGTCTCAGGTGAGCTGGGTACCGTTTGGCTGACCAAACAGAATCGAAATCGTTCAATATACCTGCGGTTTGAACCGATCACTCTGAGTACCGTAGTGGACGGTAGAACGAGTGCACTATCCCGATCCTACACATGCGTAATCGTTGACATAACTTCAATGCACGAGCTAACAACAAACCAAGAAAATATTAGTTACATAAAAACACCACGCAACCACTAGTAACCATTGTAAGACCAGGTCACCCTTCAGAAATAATTTAGTCCGGAAGATCAGAAGGTTTTGTAGTTTACCGCATGGTTTCAATTATGATTGAGTTCGTGTGTAATGCGGTTTATTACCAATATCTTCTAGGACGACCGGAAAGGTCTTTTGACCACCGTGTCAACTATACCAAGAGTTCGGCCCCGAAATAACTGTAATGAATGGTCTAATAGTGCACATACAAAAAGCATTATCTCTGCCTTCATATATTAAGTATGGGGGTAGGCAGACGTGTGTTTACCAGTCAATCCTGTTTTATCCGAATTGACGGCTGTCACTTAAGACAACGCAAAAAACGTTGGGGTCTCGCCCAGTTTAGGGGTGATTCACAGAAAACGGTTGATTAAGGCATATCTCAAACTATCATTAAAAAGTTACCACTTATAAAAAGTGCGTTCGCACTATTGAGCCTAATCAGGTCATCGGTAGCGGCTGACGAAATATTTCAACAAAACAATGGCGCGCAGGTTTTTCAACTTGAACAAACCAGGATGAGGCGTGAAGGTGTGTGTATATGTCATGCTAGCCCGATGAACCAACTAGAGTGCAACGGCTATAGAATTGACCCTACTTGGTCATTTAATCGAGAAGTGGCCTAAACAACCGGACATCTGTTCAACTTGTAAACGGCCATATTCGGTAACTAATTCATGCCATATATTTACATGCATCTCATTCTTTCGCTGAACTTGAAGTAGGCATTATAGCGTGCTTCTCCGCGGTCATGTTCTTACTGACTCTGGGCTAGTAGACTGGGTGGAATCGCATAGCAGAGATCCGGGTATAACACCCAAGCCAGGATGGAATGTTTGGCAGACCAAAGGCGCGTTACATCAGTGGCGATAGCATTAAACCGAACCCAATCATGATCATCTCCATGGAGCAGATGCAAGCACTGCTTCAACAGCAGCAGCGCATTTTCGAGCAGTCACAAACGAAACTTATTGAAACGATGGCACAGAATTTATCGAATCAGTCACTGGGAGTTGCAACCCAGAACCAGGTGTCTAGGCCAGAATCGATGATCCAACAAATCAGTAAGTTTTATTTTGATGCTATCGGTGGCGTCACGTTCAATTCTCGGTTCCATAAATATGAAGATATTTTTCGTGTGGAGAGAGTACAGCTTCTCGATGACAAAAAAGCCAGATTAGTACTGCGAAGACTCGGCACAACAGAACACGAACGATTCGTGAACTTCATCATGCCGAAACACTCCAGAGGTTTAGCTTTCGAAGAAACAAGGACGCTGCCACAAATTTTCGGTGAGCAATCATCTTTGCTTAATATTCGTTATCACTGTTTGAAATTAATAAAGAACAAAGATGACTGGGTACAGTATGCAGGTAATGTCACTTGGGAATATGAACGTTCTAAACTTCGTAGCATGACAGACGATCAGTTCAACTGTCATCTTCTCATGCGGCTTGCTATCGCTTCAAGACGCAAATATTCGAACCAGAGTTTTGAAAAAAATCGGGCAGTGCCCAGATATCACCCTACACTGTCACAACAGAATGCCAGTGACTTATTAACCCGAAACAAGACACAACAATGATTTAGCAGGCTACTTCAGCAGGTCCTCCAGAAGTGATTTATGCCGTCAGCAGCAAGAACGTGATTAAATAAACAAGCCACCAATGAGCAACAAATTCAAAACCAACATCAGCATGCTGGTGTTGCAAGGAATGACATTTTACTCATTTCTGTCCGTTCAAAAATCATATATGCAAAAAATGTGCAGAGGTCACAAAGAAATATGCTGGCAGGCACTACTGCAACCACCCCAGCGTCAAGTAAACTTTCACAGGTACCTGAAGTTCTCCAGTAAGTCGAAGGCAGTCAGCGCAACACTTAAAATTGATGGAGAATCCAAACGCAAGTACGTTACTCTTTGCATTAATGGTGTTCAGAAATGCTTGCAATTAAGCAAGGCTTCTAATATCACTTTGATTTCCTGTGATATGTGGCGTAAGCTTTGGCGGCCTCCACAGCTTCTAACACATCATACGGCTCGAAACACTTCGGGTGGAACCCTGAAGCTAGCAGGCGAAGTAACATGTGAGGTGACGTTTGGAAACAACCGAATCGAAACCCGTTGCTTCGTCGCAGATCACCCAAGTTTAGATCCACTAGGCCTTGATTGGGGGGATGACTTGAAATTATTAGATCAGCCGGTAAACAGCACATGTAATCAAACAAAAATACACAACCGGTTTGAAACGCTGCATTCCGTACCATGATTTCAACGTCAGGTTGAGAAACTCAAGATTCGGCACGCGTCTGTTTTTAAACCAGGCCTCGGCCCACGTACAAAAGCGAAGGCAACTCTAACATTACATCCAGAAGTGAATCCAAAAGACCAGTTCCGTATGCTGCTCTGCCGATTGTGCACGGCGAACTTGATCGGTTACAGTCAGTGAATTACTCGGAGTGCGTCGCTCCCATTGTGGTTGTCAAGAAAGCTAACGGTACGGTTTTCTACTGGCCTAAACGCGGCGTTAAACAATAACGAACATCTTCTTCCAATACCAGGAGACCTTTTTACGAAGCTCAACGAGGGGGACAGTGTTTTGGTAGACTGTTCACTTTCCTCACAGATCACAAATCTCTGCTGACTATTTTCGGTACGAAGAAAGGCATTCCGGTGTAAACTGCAAACCGACTGCAACGTTGGATGACAATGTTAATGGCTTATGACTTCGAAATTCGATACCGGAACATGCACGAACTTGGCAAAGCCGATGCCTCGTCACGACTAATCAACTCGGAGGAAACAGAATCTGACGACTTTATCATTGCGTCAGTTTCAATTGAACCGGAGGTTCGTCAAGTTCTCTTCGACAACACACAAGCGCTGCCCGTTACTGTTATGGCCATCAAGAACTCAACGGATCGCGACAGTCTTACAGAAAATGACGCACTATGTGCGCACAGGGTGGAGAAACACAACCTAGACTCCAATATCCGGTAGTGTTTTTTATAGGCATGACTCTTTCTCCATTAGTGACGGTTGCCTCACGTTTGGTGACCAGGTTGTCGTGCTGCAAGTGTTACGCGACAAAGTACTGAAGCAATTTCATACCGGTCATCCAAGGATCAGCCGAATGAAAGCTCTCGCGCGTAGTTATGTATATTGGGTGCAGATGGATTCGGAAATTCAGCGGTTCTGTCAAAGACGCAAAGGTATGTCAGTTAGCAGCTAAAGCACCCCCGAAGTGCTCATGGCAACCATGGCCAGAAGCAGAAAAACCGTGACAGCCTCTCCAGACTGTCTTTAATTTCCTCCTCATTTTTCTTCTTTTTATACTTGCAGTTATTTGTTGGTCTTTTACTTCGTAGGCGACTGCCAGGACCAATGGCGGCCCGAGCTATGGTACTCAACGGTACCGCTCTGGGTTTAAAAATCGATGGTAACTACTCAACACCAGGTAAGGTGAATAACATCCATTGGGTTTTCGATTGACTGTTCCCATATATGATCGTCGACTTTGTTGGTCTGATAAACATAGATGTCTAAAGCTGGATGAGCTCAAAATGACGGGTTTCAAACGCAAAAGAAGATAGGACACCAAGATGCGTTAAACGTTTACAGCTAATCCAAACCGAACAAATCTGAATGAGCAAGAAAGGAGTCTCGCCGTTTCATGTCTGTGATATGGCTCGGATCGTTTTAAATGAATTCCCGGGATAAATTACTCATCATTTACTTTGAAACAAGAGCGAGTAACAATAGGTTGGGTCAGAAATAATAGTCAGCATCGGTTTAGAGAGCAAACAAGAGAGTAGAATACAAAACATCCACAAATTAAACCATGAGGCTTATCCAGCAATTAACGGTGTAGTGAGTGTCGTTCTGTTTAGATTGTCTTATTAATATAAAAACAGACAATTATCGATGAACAATCGGGAATTCTATTCTAAGTAAGTTAAGGCCCACAGCTAATCGCGGCTTTCGTGCCCAAATAAGCTTATCAACTAGTTCCTGGCGTGGCTTCGTAGCTCAGCTGGTAGAGCACTTGCCGCATTGAGGTATGCTGTTTCTGTCGCTGGTTTAAATCCAGCCGAGGCCTTGACTTTTCATAACTGGGTCTCACTAATTATCAACTAGCCCCATTTGAAAACAGACACTAGATTCAAGTATCGCTCTCTTAAGGGTATGTTGGCAGGGTATATGCATGCGAAGGTCGGAATTTGACCTTCGGCTTACTTTCGCGTGAAATAATCGTGTTGACTACCGTATCAATGACTTCACAATAGACCCAACGAAATTACCATTGCTAAAACCTTAGCCATACTCGTTAACGACAAGGTTACACTACTTTTTCGAGAGGCCGTGATTTTTTTGTCAACCATAATCGCATGGTCAGAACACCCCAGGCAAGCTTATTTTACCAATTTAAGCTGCACCAAGTGGTCAATCTAAGCACTCAATTATCCTCCCTATTGCTACACTGCATGGAAAGCAATGTTGTACAGACTTAACGCATAGCCATACGCTAATGGAGTTTATCTGTAAATTAAAATGAACCGAATAAAAGGCAGTTTGTAGTATCAGGATCAACTGTTGTGCTGACATTCAAACATGATTCAGACAACTCAATAAAGACTACTGCTTGAGTGAGGAAAAGAAAAGATAGAACGCACAGGCAATTCGTTTTGTCAGCTGAAGACCAGGTGAGTGTTTGAAGATGACTATACCATTAAAAAAAACTCGACTAAACCGGATGGACATTGATGAGAATGTGAGGGGAATCAAAAATCAATCATCAACCTATGAACGGATGAATGGCGTCTTTTCACCGAGTGGCAATAAAACGTTCGACCTTCGCAAGTCATCCACCAGTGCGTCGCAGCTCAAAAGGAACGCACAGATAGATGACATAAAAAAAGTTATCGAACTGATGTAAAGCTAGCTTATTTCTCACGAACTGCACGACCCTTAGAAACGTTTAACATTCGTAGGACAATACAAAATGATACGTCTGATAGAATGGTCACAAAATTAAAAGTTTCACATAGTGGTAGGGGAGTAACAAATGACGGCAGGTTATACTTTCATACACGACCAAAGGTGTCCACGTCGATGTACACTACGAAAACTTACTAAATTAAGAATGTCTTTTCGAAAACAACTGCCACCAAAACCAAGACTGGCCTTCAAGAAATGTTGCCCGATTCTACTGTCCGATCCAATGGCTCGAGACACATCACGAACATCCGCCTTGGTCTTTTCGCAGATGGCAGAAATCGCGTTAATGCTGCTAATTCTCTGAGCGAGAAAAGCATTAGCTGCCTGAAGCAATTTGGGGAAAATGAGATGGCAGTCATTGTCGAATGGAACGGCTAAAAAATTGTGCAGGCTAGTAACATACATACAAGCCTACATCAATATGCAAACCCAAATATGAAAAGCATCCTCGCAAATACATTTCAGACAGTTTAGAGGGAATAACTGTTTGATGATGTCACACACGGACAGCGATTCTAGAGCAGTATTGGTAGCCGAATCAAGTTGTGTTGAAAAAGGGTTCCACCATCTTAGGTGGTCATTCCAGATCTGTGACACGACCGATGTCCTCACTCTGTCCGAACGAAGAGTATCGAAAGAACTGCAACCTTTATAATAACTACATTCAACAGACTCAGTAAAGCCTTGTGAACCAGAAGGTATGGTGCGTCTGTTCTTTGGATCTCCAAAATCTCATACAGAAAATGCATTATTGCGGTCAATTCTGTGAATGCCTAGACCACGTCAACACGAGTTGTCAAACTGGCTGGTTAAAACATTACGATCATTAAAGCGCGGAATGAGCAGCCTCTCGTTGAGAATCAGTTTCCTACAAGAAAATTCGTATCATGCGTGACTAAATCGGTGAGCATCAATTCCAACATGTGAGCTAGATAGTTTGCTCATTCTGTGTGTCTCAAGTGCAAAATTCTAACTCAAGCAGGTGACAGTATGACGAGAAATTCTGTTGGGCCCACACTGTCAGAAATTCTTACATTTCACCAATAAAGTCGTGTGCTAGGAAATATCCGAAAACTGAACTTATTTATCCGATAAGTAAACGATGTTACGCTCGTGATGGCACTAAAGATTAGGTCGAAAACGTCAAAGAGATGAAACACGAGTCACTTGTTAGAATTAGATTAAATTCTAAACATGTCAATCTTCTACTGTTGCACATCTTCAACACCCGAGGGAGTGGTGAATCGGTACAACGTTCATCTGATCACAAGTACACTTGGAGCAACCTTGCACGTCAACGATTTCGTGTAGAATCAATGTAGAACAAGCCTCACCAAACACCGAGCAACAGAGCCAGAAAGATTTGCACTCGCGATACATACCAGAGTGAACTGCGATTACTTGATCGGGTTCTTGTAAGAGAATGGACACTAGCACTCATTAACCTTCATATTTTTGAAGAACTCATTGAAAGTATAGTGGCTGTGGTGCTCAAGTCCATTGCAGTTGTATAACGAAGGGAAAGATGCTAGCACAGTGTTACAAGGACCAGAAAAGGCCGCGACAGCGTTAACGTACACTATAGATCGGACCTCTTGGCTTGTGTTAAAGCAAATATTAGTCGTTTGCGAAACTTTTCACTTAGTCATAGAAGAAGCAACGTAATGAATATATATTTCCGATAATTCATCAAGTCAATACAATTATACAGGATAAGCTAATGAGTACGAACAGACTGAATAATCTAACCGACCAGAATAAAGAAACGAAATGTACACACGTCTCAATATTCATCTCTCGTCAATCTAGACACGGGATCGATTTATTCGCCCGTGATAGGAGCCAACTGTTAGTGTGGATGTAGGTGAGCTGTTCTAAAGTGGAGCCTGAGGTAGCCGTCAACCGGATAACCTTGTTACATATGTTTTCGAATTGGGCTTCAACTTCCACTAGGTCTTCACAATGTCGAGCGCAACAAAATTTTGACTCTAGTGATGATACTTCAGTTAACGCGTTATCAAGCTACAAGAAGCCTCAATGACAGTTTTCAGCCAAACCAGAAAGATATGTTTACAACCATTGAGCGAAGTCAGTATGTGTTGTCTGATTTGTTTCAGATCTCGTAATGATGCAAAGTGCTGATTGGAAACAGTAACAGACATGACCATGTGTTTTAGCCAGTAAAGTATGTGCATCGATAGCACTGTTTCTGTCCCGTCTCATTTTATATAAAACGTTCGTATCCCATTTCTTCTGATTACAGTTTTTCCAGAACGTTCTTGTTGTGCCCAACGGCGGCTCGAATTGCAATGCTGTCTGACCACGCGCGAGAGCGTTTAGAAATAGAGGAATTAATTAGACCAGTCCGTCATCAACCCATACTTTTTGCCTCATAACTTCCTGTTCTTCAACAGACAATTGATAATACGGAAATCTATCTAGCCAAAATTAATGCGTGTCAACTGCTTTGACGACTTCACTGACTGTCGATTACGGAAAAGCTTATTTACACTTCATGTACTTTCATTCAGAAAGACGAACAGCGTTTTGCAATAACAGCCACTTCATACAACAAACGCAAAGTAAGGACCGTTGATGACAAGCACACTGGTCAATAACACCACCCGATATCACCTCACAGTAGAGATCTACATCCAAGCATTGCAATCTTAACGAATTAACTGACAGATGTACCATCAAGTCAAAATTGATCCAATAAAAAGAAATCAACTTAGACACCGTTGCTAGGTTTACAAGAAAGAACAGATGATCACAAAAAAGGACCTGCTTAATAGTGTTGTATGTGTAACAACTAGGTGAAGGTCAACAGAACTGAATTTATCACAGACAGTCACCATGGCAACCGAGTAAGGACAGAAAGTAGTACATCAATAGCACCTACTGAGGCTTGATGCGTATTAGACAAAGATGGTAAATGAAATACAATAACAACAAAGTGCACACATACGATACATTTCAATTTTGAACAGATCACAGCAACCAACTGGCAAGTCCATGCAACAACCAGTAGGTATTTCTCTAGACTGTGGCAGCAACAATTTTAAGTCACCTCCGAAATCGGAACACATTAGGAATCATTATTGGTTTAGAAACAGCGTAATTAAATTACGCGCGAAGATTTCCCAAACAATGCACGGTTCACGCTGATAACCAAATAAAACTTACTAATTTAGACAACTCCGAAGACCACGTGGACATAATAAGAATGCGTTCCGCTGGTACCCAATGCAGATAGATATTGCGAAGCATTTCGATTGCTTGCCGACCAGATTCCGTTTGTTCATCTCCACCGATGAGCACACGATCTGGTTCTTCCAAATTTTTCACAGCCGTGCCCTCGGCCAGAAATTCCGGATTCGATAAAACCACCGATTCGGAAAGCTGCTCGTCATGAATTCCAAACAATAAACAACAAGATTCTTAAAGGAGTGGTGCATTTGGCATAACACACTAAATGGAGAAGAAACTGCCAAATAAAATGAATGTCAAACCAGAAATTGTGAGAGGTCTGCCGTCCAAGTAATTGTTGCGTAACTTGTTTGAACCCAGTTACTATAGTAGACACAGTCTAACTTGGATTTCCAGTCTTCAAAGACAAAGGCCACAACAGTTCGAAAGGATGATTATACTAGTTGATCATGCTCACCCGCAAACGGACAAGACCGGTTTCAGCTGCGTCTGAATGGGCATTGGACCAGCAACCCTTCGAGTTACAAGCCGAGGATTCTATCCGATCGGTCACCAGTCATAGAAGCATCGTTTGTCTTTCAAGTGGACAGAATTTTTAATAAATAATTCAACTACCAAAAGAAACTTTGTCTGACAAATCACACTCAGGAGACTTTATTCACTAATTGCACACAGTCAATCACATCAAAAAAAAACGAAGAACTCAATACCAGCTTGTTGGAATTACGTAATAGTTTTTGCTCGCCACTAAAGCAGTGCTAAGATCGGCTTTTTCCTTTTATGGATCACACTCGACATAAGCACTCTGAAAGAGATTCAGATATTAAGTCTACGTGTCGTGAACCAAGCCCTTGTCAACGGCAACACTCTTCACTTCATATAATGAAAGAC